TGATTGCTCTGTATTTTAGTTGTAATTTTGATATGATTGTGGGAATGCCACCATCTTGGTTCTCCATCTAAAATATTTTTAAAATCCACTACAAATAGAAAAATGATGTCTGAGGTAAATAACTCAAAATATGTTATAGCCTAAGGTAATAAACTTTTTTCCAGATGTTATAGAACTGAATTAAAATAATTAGTAAGTGGCCTGGCCAATGTGGCTCAGTGGTTGAGCAATGACCCATGAACCAGGAGGTCACAGGTTCAATTCCTGGTTAGGGCACATGCTCTGATTTTGATCCCCAGTAGGGGGCATGCAGGAGGCAGCTGATCAATGATTTTATTTCATCATTGATGATTTTCTCTCTCTCCCCTTATCTCTCTGAAATCAGTAAAAACATATTTTAAAAAATATTTAGTAAATGAACCAAAACCAGATATCGGGGGGTGGGTGGTGGGTGGGAGGGAATAGTCCCAGCATTCCAATTGTATCTTTAAATTCATTTTTACTGATTTACCTGGGAACCATGTATATTCCTATTTACAAGATAATACAGCCTTACTTCTGCTAAATTTACTAATTAATTTTCAGAAAACCCCTCTTTTTTAAGTTAGACTCCCTATACTTACAAATATATCTACCGCCACTTGAAGGTATCAGCTTATATTTTGACTAGAGGCCTGTCGCACAAAATTTGTGCACAGGTACGGTCCCTAGGCCTGGCCTGAGACCAGGGCCATCTTCCCTGGCTGCCGGCAGCCAGCCCAGCCACCCACCTCCAGTTCCTCGTTCGCCATCAGGCAATTGGAGCCTGTCGGCCGGGGGTGGGGGGGTGGGAGGGGGAGGGACTGAGAGGTTGGTTGGCAGGCCCTGATCAGGCGATCAGGGCCTGTGGGCTGGGAGCAGCTCCTGCGTTGAGCATCAACCCCCTGGTGATCAGTGTGCATCACAGTTACCAGTCGTTCCGTGGTTTGGTCCATGTGCATATTACCCTTTTATTATATGCATAGCTCATGGACATGGGCAATAGAGTAGTGAAGACCTGGGGGTGGGTAAGTAGGGACTAGGGGAAGGGAAGTAAGAGGGAGAAATGGGATATATCTGTAATACTATCAACAATAAAAATATTTTTTAAGAAAATATACTCATCACATTTCTAATTACATGTTTAATGTCTCTTTCCCATTATTCAAGCTTCAAGAAGGTAGAAACACAATCTTGTTTCTTTATGTGTTCCTAGACCAAGGACAGTGCCTCACACATAATAACTATTTGCTGAAAGAGAATGAATGAATAAGGACAACTTTCTTTTTCTGGGTAACCCTTATTCACCTGTCAAGGACCAAAGCCAGATGTTATATCCTCCAGGTTGGGTTACAGTCAAATCTGATACATCTTTGGATCCCTAGGGCCTAGTTTGGAACTTGGTACATGATTCATATATCATAGATATTTGTCAAATAATAATAAACTCTTGGCCAGGAGTTGATAATTGTTGAAACTGAGTGATGGGTATATGAGTAGGGTTCATTAAACTGTTCTTTCTCCTTTCATCTATATTTTTAAATTTTCCGTGATAAAAAGTGAAAACATTTATATTCACCTAAAGTCAAGCAAAAGTGTAGTCAAAGATGATCTTGAGGTCTCTGGCTGAAGCAAACCAGTAGATGGTGGTGTGGTTCACTGGGGTGGATGGAGTGGAGCTGCATCCAGACTCGAATGCGCATGTGCATGGGCTGGCTTGGAGAGGGTTCTTTTTCATCCCAGTGAAAGTTCTTTGAAGGTCAATACAGGGATGAAAGAATAAATTTTGATTTCAGCACCTTTAATTTCAATTACTTGAGGGCATCTCCAGTCAGCTACAATCAATTAAAATCTCTGCCTTAAACAATGAGCTATGAGAGGGTTTCTGGATGGTAACCTTCCCTCTCATGATCCTCAATGGCTTCTGGGACACTGATCTGACTGACCACTGGGAACTGTCCTGCTATCTAGGGAGTCTGCAGTAAATACTGTGCCCCACCAGTGCTTCCTTCACACTTCTCATCCACACTCTCCCCTTCTTTACTGCTGTTTTATTTCTACGAGGGAGTGATTTATTAGCATCAGCGAGGCCTCAGTGGGTGTCACAGCTTTATGTTCAGCAGCAAGTAGGGTGTCAAGAAAATTCTGGTTCCCTTTTGACTTCACCACCTTCTGACTGCAAGTCGCTTGACCTTTCTGAATCTCAAATGCTGCCTCTGAAAAATAAGGATAACAATCGTGGTGATTTCACAGGGCTGACGCGAGGATGAACGCACACGCAAAGGGTTCAACACAGAGCCTGGCACAGTGTGAGCTGTTGTTAAACAGGAGCTATTATTATCGCCAGCGCCCAGTCCTCTTCAGCTCTCCACCTGGACGGCTCTCCACCTGGACGTCGGGAGAGCTGCTGCAGGAGTGGAGCAGGCTGCTGGCTCCCTGCCCAGTGGGTGCCTGGTCCCGCTGGCATGCATAAACGACTCCAGGCCAGGGTGTAGGGTGGCGCTGGGGATGGCAGGGTCGGCAGAGGCAGGGCTGCAGGCAGCTTCTCCCGGCCCAGCTGCAGCCTGGCTTTGTCAGGAAGGACATCTAGAAAGTTGTCCAGAAGACGTCTGGTCTAATTAGCATATTACCCTTTTATTAGTATAGATTGTTATGTGAGAGTAATAAAGTCTATTCCTCAAACTGTATTTTTGTAAAATAAATTTTTATAGATTTCAGAGAAGGGAGAGCAAGAGATTGAAACACCAATGATGAGATTCAATGATCGGCTGCCTCCTGCACACCCCCTTCTGGGGACTGAGCCTGCAACCCTGGCATGTGCCCGGACTGGGAATTGAACTGTGACCTCCTGGTTCATAGGTCAACACTCAACCTCTGAGCCACACTGGCCAGGCTCAAACTATGTGTTTTATTATCAAAATACTAGAGGCCTGGTGCACAAATGTGTGCATGGGTGGAGTCCCTCGGCCTGGCTGGTGATCAGGGCCAATAGGGGCCATCTCACCCAGTCCTGATTGGGGTGATTGGGGCCAGCCGGCCAGGGGAAGGGACCGTGGAAGGTTGGCCGGCCATGGGAGGTTGGCTGTGGGAGCACACTGACCACCAGGGGGCAGCTCCTGTGTTGAACATCTGGCCCCTGGTGGTCAGTGCGTGTCATAGTGATTGGTCGACCAGTTGTAATGGTTGCTTAGGTTTTTATATATATGGATAATAGCTGGAAGAAAATTCACAAGTGACATGGAACTCCTCTCCTTTGTATATACCCAAGAGTATAAAAAACATACACAAAGACGTGTGTGAATGGTCATAGCACCATTATCCATAATGGCTAAAAAGTGGGAACAACCCAAGTGTTCATTAACTGATGAGTGAATAACCAATGTAGAATATCAATACAATGGGATATATTACATAGCAATGAATAGGAATGAAGTACTGACACACACTTCAATATAGATGAACTTTGAAAGTATGCTAAGTGGAAAAAGCCAGTCACAAAAGACCACTTATTGTATGATCCTATTTATATGAAATGTCCAGTATTGGCAAATCTATAGAAACAGAAAGTAGATTAGTGGTTGCCTGGGGCTGAGAATGAGAGAAGAAATTGACCCCAAATAAATATGAGGGAACTTTTGGTGGTGATAAAATGTTCTAAAACTGGATTATGGTAATAGTTACACAATTGTATACATTTGCTAAACACCACAGAACTGTACATCTAAAATGAGTGGATTTTTTAAAATGTAAATTATACTTACTGTTAAAATTCAAAATATTATAAATCACCCTCTCCTTAACTCTCTAAGCCGCAGTGGTTCTCAACCCTTTAATACAGTTTCTCATGTTGTGGTGACCCCCAACCATAAAATTATTTTTGTTGCTACTTCATAACTGTAATTTTGCTACTGTTATGAATCGTAATGTAAATATCTGATATGCAGAATGTATTTTCATTGTTCGTGACCCACAGGTTGAGAACCGCTGGTAGGATTTAGGCCAAGTTTATTATATGGCATCACACACACCTAGCACATTGCCACATAAGACATATATGTACTCTGGTTTGATAATCATGGTTCTAAGGCAGCGGTTCTCAACCTGTGGGTCGCGACCCCTTTGGGGGTCGAACGACCATTTCACACGGGTCGCCTAAGACCATCGGAAAACACATATATAATTACATATTGTTTTTGTGATTAATCACTATGCTTTAATTATGTTCAATTTGTAACAATGAAATTGGGGGTCACCACAACATGAGGAACTGTATTAAAGGGTCGTGGCATTAGGAAGGTTGAGAACCACTGTTCTAAGGTGTTCCAAACATGCTTATTCTTAACATGTTTGACAAAAGAAAGATGTTGCTCAGCCAGTGTGGCTCTGTGGTTGAGCATCGACCTATGAACCAGGAGGTCACGGTTTGATTCCTGGTCGGTACATGCCTGGGTTGTGGGCTTGATACCCAGTGTGGGGCATACAGGAGGCAGCTGGTCGATAATTCTCTCTCATCATTGATGTTTCTATCTCTCCCTCTCCCTTCCTCTCTGAGATAAATAAAAATATATTAAAAAAAATAATTTGTTGAAAAAAAAAAAGAGATGCACTTAACTCATTAATAGCATCCCAACAATCACACTGCCAAAGAGAAGGCTGAAGGAAAAGAAAACTTTAAAGTAATAAAATGGCCTTAAGTCTTCAGTGGTATAAAAATGGACTGGCATTAACATCTTTTCCTAACCTTATATTATCATAAGGTTAATGTAACCTTATTATTTACCTTGCTGATTTTTAAAAATAATTCATGGTAGGGTCAGTTGTATTGTAATGGCAGAGGTTTCTATGTAATGAAATTTGTAAATGTATATAATACTAAAATTTTAGATTTTATTGATCAAATATATAAATTACCTTTTCCGCCACAATCCAAGAATATATGAAAATTAATATATGATTGTTAAACTAAATACCATACACAAAAATTTATTGGAATATTTTATTTACATTTTATATTTAAAGAGAATCAATACAAATCAGGACATATTTACAGCATTTCAAATCAGTGTACAAGAATGCAATGGTTTCATCTGTTCTACATTTAGCAAACAAACAAAAAAATACATGTCTGTTCTGCTTTTGCCTAAATTCTGCTGGAATCTGCACTGGAAACAAAATCCTAAAACCACAGATAAGCCACAAAATACAAATAAAGTGCATTTTTAAATAGCTCTATTTAACTTTGGTGGATGAGCTTCTAACTTTATATTAAGGCACCTGGAATTCTCTCCCGTCCCCCAATTCTTTTTCAAACACCAAGAAAATGCATTCACAAAATTTATAGCTACATGGGCAGAATTTTAGTTTACCTAATGTAATTTTAGCCCATTTAAGTAAAATGTAAACTCAATTTTAAAGTCAACATTATTTGGAAAACATCTTCTTGAGACTATTTCTGTAGACTAATTCATATACAAAGATCAATTACCAATTTTTTGTGTGACTTATCATTTTCACTTAGTATGATAATTTATATACTCTGCTTTTGAAAATTCCATTATTAAAGTCTGAGAAATAGTTATATAGCAGTTTTGTAAGGAAACTTTTTGTCCATAATTTTGTGCCAAATTAGTGTCACTAATATACCAACTAATCCAGTCCAGTCCATATTCTCTGATAAACTATGCTCGACTTACATGAAGTACATTTAGCCTAATTTAAAAAACAAGAATAGTTAAAATGATTGTTTTGCTTTAATCTTGTTCTATCAACTTAATGTAGCTTAATTAGACATTTGATGAAGTATTAGCCTAAGTTTGCATTGCTTTTTACAATATAATTCCAGATCAATATAAGCACCTGGAGAAAAACCCTGACACATATAGCCCAAGCTAAAGTAGTAGATTTTTAATTAATGTGCTATCATAAAATAAAATAATTATAGCTACTTCACATTTTTAAAGCAACATGTTTTTATAAGAAAACTGTTATATATGAAAAACATGACTACTTGAAGAGAGTTTCGAATGTTTAAAAATCTTGCTATCACTATTGGGAGGAAACTAGCCTATGAAAAACATTATGAGTTTATGAAAAAAAGTTAATAGGTTAAATATTTTAAGCTATTTAAGTATAGCATAATATTAGTCATCTCAGCACTTTCAATATCATTCTTACTTTATTAAATTTATCCATTTCATTAATAGCAAACTAGGCCCCGATTGGCAGTTCTGTTATTACTAAAGGTTCAAGTTTTCTATTGACACAGATTTTATGATTTAATTTCTCGAACAGCAGTCTCTTGATCAGGAATTTCATCTTCTTCAAAGGTTGGGTTGTCAACATGAGGAACAACATCCATTGCCACAGAACTTGCTTCATGGTTTACCAGCTGTAGATTTTCATCTTTAGAAAGAAATAACAATTTTAGGATGATTTTAACCCTCTCTTCTTTCAGACAAAAATCAACACTCATGTCTAAGAAGCCTTTCTTGTCTAATTTCATAATACTCTGATCATTATACTTATTCTCAGTTCCTTTAATAATTATATGATTTCTGCTATGTTTTACTTAAAACACCTAGGGCATTATTATATTAATTTACAATTATCTTTTTAAAATTCACATGGGTGCTTACTTCTGCCTAGATTACCCATTAAGAGCAAAAGTTATGTCTTCTGTTTCTTTTCTGTCCTAAATATAACAGTTCTTAAACGGAGCTTCACATTTCAGTCACCTGGACACTTTATTTATTTATTTATTTATTTATTTATAGAATTATAGTAATGTTTTTACTTATTTTACTAGAGGCCCAGTGCACAAAATTCGTGCACTTGGTGGGGGGGGGCCCTCAGCCCAGCCTGAGTCCTCTCATAATCTGGGAGCCCTTGGGGGATGTCCGACTGACAGCTTAGGCCCGCCAGCAGTGAGCCCAGCTTCTGGCTGAGTGGCACCCCCCCACCAGTGGGAGTGCACTGACCACCAGGGGGCAGCTCCTGAGTTTAGCATCTGCCCCCTGGTGGTCAGTGCACATCATAGGGACTAGTTGTTCCGCCATTCAGTTTTGCATATTAGCTTTTTATTATATAGGATTTATTTTTTAAACCTTTATTATTGAAAGTATTACATATGTACACCTTTCCCCCCATCAACCCCCTTCAGCCCACCTCCGGCCCCCACCCCAGGACCTCTCTACCCCAATGTCTGTGTCCATGGGTTATGCATATATGCATACAAGGTCTTTGGTTGATTACCTCCCACCCACCCTTCCCTCTGAGATTCCACACTCTCTTTCATGCTTCCATGTCTCTGGATCCACTCCATTCATCAGTTTATTTTGTTACTTAAATTCCACATATGAGTGAGATCATATGATCCTTGTCTTTCTTTGACTGACTTATTTCACTTAGAATGATACTCTCCATGCTGTCTCAAAGGGTAAGAAATTCTTCTCTGAAGATGGCGGCACAGGTAAACACCGGAAATTGCTGCCTCCCACAACAACTTCAAAAATACAACTAAAAGGCAAAATGAACATCATCCAGAACTACAGGAAGGCTGGCTGAGCAGAAATTCTACAACTAGAAGGAAAGAGAAAAGCACACTGAGACTCGGAGGTGCGGAAGTAAAGTGCAGAGGTACGAAGGCGTGCGCAGGAAACGGCTGGCAACTGAGGACGCGGCTGTCTTTTTTAATCGGGAGGGTGTCACAAGCCCCGGACTGCTCTGAATGCCAGTTCTGGGCGAGTCTCTGGGGACCCAGACTCATACGGGGAGAAACTGGACTGTCTGGCAGCGGGCAGAACTCGGAACTCGAGGGCAAATTTCTCTCAGAGGAGCTTGCAGCGATTACCGGGACACTGAGACGCGGGATCTCTTAGGGCAGGGCTGAGGATCAGCCATAGCTGTTTGCTCCACCCTGTTGATTCCCTGAGACCCCGCCCCACCCAAGCTGTGCGCAGAGGCTTTTGCATATGAATGCCCTGGCCCTTTGCAATCTGAAAATTACCTAACAAACTGCAGCTGGGTCAGAGAGACCCAGAACATCCAAAAGAAGGCCCAAGGCCCCACAGCAGCTTGCATTGCTTCACAGCTGGGCCTCATCTGGCCACCTCCAAACCCCAAACAAGGAAGGGGAAACTGCAGATCTCCTCGTAGCTCCTGCTGGGTAGCCTCAGGCAGAGGCTAAATTAGCACCTCCTTAGAGATCCAAGAGCCAGTGTACCCAGTGGTCAGAGTGGGACCATCCAGATTACAACTACTCAGATCCATAAGGGACACACTCAGGGGGCAGACTCAGTGAGCACCAAAGCCCCACTGAAGCAAGTCTTGCCCCAGAAGGGTGTCTTCAGCACAGAAGTTCTCCCACCATAGACACAGCTGATTCTCACAGCCAATTGGCCTGGAGGTCAATTCTTCCCAGTGATACCAACAACAATCAAGGCTTAGCTACAACAAGACTGTGCACAAAGCCCACAAAGGGGTGCACCAAGAGTGTCCACCTCAGATAATTGGGGAGGCTGAGCCACTGGGCCCTATAGGACACCTAGCACACAAAGCCACTCTACCAACACAGGGAAAGCATAAAAAATGTGGAGACAAACAGGTCACAAATGACAGAAATGGAGGAAAGCAAACTACTGGATATAGAGTTCGAAACCACGGTTATAAGGTTTCTCAAGAATTTTCTAGAAACCGCCGATAAATTTAGTGAGACCCTGGAGGATATGAAAAAAGACCAACTAGAAATTAAGCAGAACCAAGATGGCGGCATAGGTTAATGCCGGAGTTTGCTGCCTCGAACAACCACTTCAAAAATACAACTAAAAGACGGAACGGACATCATCCAGAGCCACAGGAAGGCTGGCTGAGTGGAAGTTCTATAACTAGGAGGAAAGAGAAAAGCATACCCAGACTCAGAGGAGGCGCAGTGCTGAAGTAAAATACTAAGGTGTGGAGTGCATGCGGAGCGGGGTGGCGGCTGAGGGCGCGGTTGTCTGTTTCAATCGGGAGGGAGTCTCAGACTCTGAGCTCCAGATCCAGGCGAGTCTCTAGGGACCCAGACTCAAACGGGAGAAGCGGGACTGTCTGGCTTCGGTCGGAACTCAAAGGCAGCTTTCTCTCCGAGGTTTGCAGTGGTTGCTGGGACTCTGAGAGGCAGAGCCCCTGGGGACGGGACTGAGAGCAGCCATAACTGCTCACTCCGCCCGCCCTGTAGATCCCCTGGGACGCGCCCCGCCCAAGCCCTGCACAGAGGCATTTGTCGGATAGCCTCAGGCAAAGGCTGGATTAGCACCTCCCTAGAGGACAGAAGTTCTCCCACTGCAGACACAGCTGATTCTCACAGCCAGTTGGCCTGCAGGTCAAATCCCCCCTAGTATTACCTACAACAATCAAGGCTAAACTACAACAAGACTGCGCACAAAGACCACTAGGGGGTGCACCAGAAAGCATAAATAATGCGGATGACAAAGGAACAGGACACAAATGTCAGAACTCGAGGATATAGAGCTCAAAACCACACTTTTAAGGTCTTTCAATAATTTGCTAGAAACTGCCCGATAAACTTGATGAGAGCCTCAAGAAATCTAATGAGACCCTCGATGTTGTGATAAAGAACCAACTAGAAATTAAGCATACACTGACTGAAATAAAGAATATTATCCAGACACCCAACAGCAGACCAGAGGAGTGCAAGAATCAAGTCAAAGATTTGAAATGTGAAGAAGCAAAAAACATCCAACCGGAAAAGCAAAATGAAAAAAGAATCTGAAAATACGAAGATAGTGTAAGGAGCCTCTGGGACAGCTTCAAGCATACCAACATCAGAATTATAGGGGTGCCAGAAGATGAGAGAGAGAGCAAGATATTGAAAACCTATTTGAAGAAATAATGACAGAAAACTTCCCCCACCTGGTGAAAGAAATAGACTTACAAGTCCAGGAAGCGCAGAGAACCCCAAACAAAAGGAATCCAAAGAGGACCACACCAAGACACATCTTAATTAAAATGCCAAGAGCAAAAGACAAAGAGAGAATCTTAAAAGCAGTAAGAGAAAGAAACTCAGTTACCTACAAGGGAATACCCATACGACTGTCAGCTGATTTCTCAACAGAAACTTTGCAGGCCAGAAGGGAGTGGCAAGAAATATTCAAAGTGATGAATACCAAGAACCTACAACCAAGATTACTTTATCCAGCAAAGCTAACATTCAGAATTGAAGGTCAGATAAAGAGCTTCACAGATAAGGAAAAGCTAAAGGAGTTCATCACCACCAAATCAGTATTATACAAAATGCTGAAAGGTATCCTTTAAGAGGAAGAAGAAGAAAAAGGTAAAGATACAAATTATGAACAACAAATATGCATCTATCAACAAGTGAATCTAAGAATCAAGTGAATAAATAATCTGATGTACAGAATGAACTGGTGATTGTAATAGAATCAGGGACATAGAAAGGGAATGGACTGACTATTCTTGGGGGGAAAGGGGTGTGGGAGATGCGGGAAGAGACTGGACAAAAATCGTGCACCTATGGATGAGGACAGTGGGTGGGGAATGAGGGCGGAGGGTGGGGTGAGAACTGGGAGGAGGGGAGTTATGGAGGGAAAAAAGAGGAACAAATGTAATAATCTGAACAATAAAGATTTAATTAAAAAAATAAAAAATAAAAAATAAATTAAGCATACACTGACTGAAATAAAGAATAATATACAGAGATCCAACAGCAGGCAAGAGGATCCCAAGAATCAAGTCAAAGATTTGAAATATGAAGAAGCAAAAAATACCCAACCGGAAAAGAAAAAAGAAAAAAGAATCCAAAAATATGAAGATAGTGTAAGGAGCCTCTGGGATAACTTCAAGCGTACCAACATCCAAATTATGGGGGTGCCAGAAGAAGAGAGAGAGCAAGATATTGAAAACCTATTTGAAGAAATCATGACAGAAAACTTCCCCTACCTGGTGAAAGAAATAGACTTACAAGTCCAGGATGCGCAGAGAACCCCAAACAAAAGGAATCCAAAGAGGACCACACCAAGACACATCATAATTAAAATGCCAAGGGCAAAAGACAAAGAGAGAATCTTAAAAGCAAGAAGAGAAAAACAGTCAGTTACTTACAAGGGAGTACCCATATGACTGTCAGCTGATTTCTCAACAGAAACTATGCAGGCCAGAAGGGAGTGGCAAGAAATATTCAAAGTGATGAATAGCAAGAACCTACAACCAAGATTACTTTATCCAGCAAAGCTATCATTCAGAATTGAAGGTCAGATAAAGAGCTTCACAGATAAGAAAAAGCTAAAGGAGTTCATCACCACCAAACCAGTATTAGATGAAATGCTGAAAGGTATTCTTTCAGAAGAGAAAGAAGAAGAAAAAGGTAAAGATAAAAATTATGAACAGCAAATACACATCTATCAACAAGTGAATCTAAAAATCAAGTGAATAAATAATCTGATGAACAGAGTAAACTGGTGAATATAATAGAATCAGGGGCATAGAAAGGGAGTGGACTGACAATTCTTGGGGGGAAAGGGGTGTGGGGGGTGGGAGAAGAGACTGGACAAAAATCGTGCACCTATGGATGAGGACAGTGGGAGGGGTAAGGGTAGAGGGTGGGGTAGGAACTGGGTGGAGGAAAGCTATGGGGGGAAAAAGAGGAACAACTGTAATAATCTGAACAATAAAGATTTAATTTAAAAAAAAAAGAAATTCTTCTCTTTTACTGCTGGATAGTATTCCGTGGTATAAATGTACGTAGCTTTTTTATCCACTCATCTACTAATGGGCATTTGGGCTGTTTCCAGATCTTAGCTACTGTAAACTCACCTGGACACTTTAAAAATTACCTGTGCTTTTTCAAATGCATATATAGATAGACAAAAACAACAACAACCAGGAAGTTGGGGAGAGTGCCCAGAATGGAATGGAAATGGTAACAAATTAACATCTATATATATAAAACCCTAATATGCAAATAGACTGAATGGCAGAACAACTGAACAACTGGTGACTATGATGTGTGGTGACCACCAGGGGGCACGTGCAGAACATGGTGGGCATAGGCAGCAGGTGGCAGAGCGGAACATGGTGGGCATTGGCTGCAACGGGATGGTGGAGCAGGTGAGCGAGGGCACCAGACCAAGTTGGGGCACAGGTCACTGTCATCAGGGCAAGCCTCTGGTGGTTACTGAAAATTCTTTGCTCCTGTGTTGTGCAGTCCCTCCTGGTACTCGCACCTGCTGCCGGCGCTGGCCCTGCATGCACCCACTGCTCACACCCACTGCTGGCACCAGACCCAATTGCTACACACTGTCAGTGGGTGCGAGTGGGGCCAGCGCCATTAGTGTGTGGGAGTGGCGGCAGCGGGAGTGGGGCTGCTGGCAGACAGGGGACTGGGGGCTGTAGCAGGAGGGGCTGGACGGGGGTGTGGAGGATGGGCTGAGACTTGTCCCTGTGCCCACTGCAGCCTCGAAGCCCACAGTTCCTTTCAAGGTGCACAAATTCGTGCACTGGGCCCCTATTAATTATATAACAGATGAGATATATAACCATCCTGAAGATAGTGGAGAAGAAAAGGATTAACTTAAATAACATTGGAAAACAGTATTTTGACTATATCCTATGATGCTAAAAACAAAAATAACTACACACTAGTTAGTGAAAAATTTTTTCACAGAGTTGTGAGTTAGCAATATTGAAACTATTTTTGTGTGTTCTGCGATTGAACAAATAAGTAAATATATTGTAGATAATGAGAGCCAGGTTTCTCACTGTCAGGGAAAGAAATTACAAATAGAGAAAAAGGAAGGCTAAAATAAACTCTGGGGTGCTGGCTTGGATATTTCATTATGAGCTCACTGTGTTTCAGATGGATGGATGGATAGACAGATGAATAGATGCATGAAATGTGTGCATATATTTGCATGAGTACATATTTAACAGTTTTGTTCATTAAAAGGGTCAATATCAATGACACCCCAGTAGCAATGAGCATAACTAGTGCCCAGATCTTGGTTTTAAAATATTGTTCTCCAATAAAAGGCCCCAGGAAGAAATGGCTGATTCTAAGGCTAGGGCAAAGAGACTACAAGATTAACCTAGATTTTAACCTAGGATTAGCAAATGGTCTGTGAGCCAAATCCATAGCTAAGAGGGGTTTCATATTCTTAAAATGTTGTAAGACAAACATACAAAAATGCAACAGAGACTTATGGCCTTTGAAGCTTAAAATATTTACTATCTAGCCCTTTACAAAAAAAGTTTGCGAATCCCTGGTGTAGAACATCTTGTAGTGCCAGAAAGTAAGTGCAAAAAAAAAAAAAAAAAAAAAAAAAAGGCGGGGCATGTTGAAAGAAAACAGAAACCAACTTCAGAGAGTTCTCAATGACCAAATCTAGGACAATCTAAGCAATGAATAGATCATGATAATAATATTATAGAAGGAAAGAAGTATCTACAAATCCATGATATTATAAATAATTGACTAAGAAATGGAAAAAGGATAGCTATTCCTTAAAATTGAAGCTTAATTAATGTAGGAAAAAGGATGGAAATAAAAAAATCACAATTGGCACACACTTCAGTAATAATTATTGCAAGAAGCACCAATTATTGCTAAAATTAGTGGGTAAAAGTATGATGAGAAAGGATATTTTCAAGTCTCTCTATATAATTAATAATTACAAAGGGCAAAACAGTAACTTTAACACGAGAAGCTTGGCAGACACCACCCTTAACTAATTGAGCAATATTCAAATTATCAGTAATAAGATATGGATATCATGTGACTCATTATATGATATAAGGCAGAAAAGGGCACATCATTTCTTTGGTATTCTTGCCTAAAATAGAAAAGGACAATGAATTTAATCATTGAGAAACATCAGACAAGTCCAAATTAAGAGAAATTCTACAAAATAACTGACCAGTAGTCTTCAAAAGTGTCAAGGTCATTAAAGACAAAGACTAAGGAATAGCGACAGATTGAAAACGAAGACATTACAATTAAATACAATGTGGACCTCTCAACATATTAGGTATTGAAAGAACATACCAAAATGTAATAAAGGCCATATATGACAAACCCACACCTAATATCTTAATCAATGATGAAAAACCGTAAGCTTTTCCTCTGAAATCAGGAACAAGACAAGTGTGCCCACTCTCACCACTCCTGTTCAACATAGTATTGGAAGTCATAGCCAAAGCAATTAGTCAAAAAAATGAAAAAAGACCTCAAAGTCAAAAAGGAAGAAATAAAACTGTCTCTGTTTCCAGATGACATGACCTTTATTTATATAAAGAAAATACTAAAGATTCCACCAAAAGACTATTAGAACTAATTTATTCAGTATAGTTTCAGGATATAAAAGCAACATACAAAAACCATTATTACATTTCTATATTCTAGCAATGAAATACCTGAAAGAGAATTAAAGAAAATCCCATTTACAATAGGATTATCAATTTATCAAAAACAATAAAGTAGTTATGAATTAATTTAACCAAAGAAGTGAAATATCTGTACAATGAAAATTATAAAACATTGATGAACAATATCGAAGAAGACACAGATAAATGGAAACATCCCATGTTCATGAATCATAACAATTAATATTGTTAAAATGCCCATACTGCCCAAATCCATCTATAGATTCAATATGCTCCCTATGAAAATTCCAATTGCATTTTTCACAGGAATATAAAGAAAATCCTAACCTTCAAATGGAACCATAAAACACCCCAGAGAGCATAAGCAACAAAGTGGGAGGCATCACACTCCTGATTTCAAACTATACTACAAAGCTATAGTAATCAAAACAGTCTGGTACTGGCATAAAAACAGAAGCATAAATCAATGGAACAGAATTGAGAGCCTAGAAATAAACCCAGGCATATGCAGTCAACTTATTTTTGACAAGACAGCCAAGAACACTCAATGGAGAAAAGATAGTCTTTTCAATAAATGGTATTGGGTAAATTGTATATTCACATGCAGTAGAATAAAACTGGACCCCTACCTTATACCACTTCCCAAAATGAAATAAAAATGGATTAAAGACTTAAACAAGAACGAAAACCCTAAAACTCCTAGAAGAAAACATAGGGGAAAAGCTCCTTGACATTGATCTTGAAAATTTTTTGGCTATGACACCAAAGCACAAGCAACAAAAGCAAAAATCAACAAGTGGGGCTATAACAAACTAAAAAGCTTCTACACAGCAAAATAAACAACAGAATGAAGAGGCAACTTACAGAATGGGAGAAAATGTTTGCAAACGATATATTACATAAGGTATTAATATCCAAAATATATAAGGAACTCATACAGCTCAATAGCAAAAAAACCCAAAAAACAAAAAAACAAAAACTCAAATCCAATTAAAACATGGACAGAGGAACTGAATAGATATTTTTCCAAATAAATACATACAAATGGCCAACAATTACATGAAAAGATGCTACACATCACTAACCATGGGAGAAATGCAAATCAAAACCAAAATGAGATATCGTCTTAAACTTGGTAGAATAGCTATTATCAAAATGACAGGAGATGAGTGTTGGTGAGGATATAGAGAAAAGAAAACCTGCCCTGATCAGGTGTCTTAGTTGGTTGGTGCATCATCATGATGCACCAGGGTTGTGGGTTCGATCCTCGGTCAGGGTACGTACAATAATCAACCAATGAATGCATAATAAGTGGAAAAACAAATCGAAGTCTCTTCCTTTCTAAAAAAGTGAATGAATAAAAAATTTTTTAAATCTTTTTTAAAAAAGAAAGAAAACCTTAGTGCACTGTTGGTGGTAGTGTAAATTCACTATGGAAACAGAAACAGTATTGTGGTTCCTCAAAATATTAAAAAGATAACTACCACATGATCCAGCAGTTCTACTTCTGGTTATACATCCGAAGGAAATTATATCGCTATCTTGAAGAGATAGCTGCATTTCCCTCTTCACTGCAGCATTATTCACAATAGCCAAGACATGAAAACAACCTAAGTGTTCATTGACAGATGAATGGATAAAGAAAATATGATTATATATACAGAGTATTTATTATTCAGCCATGAGCGTTAAAGAAATCCTCACATTGCATCAACATGGATAGACCTTGAGAACATTGTGCTCAATGAAATAAGTCACACAAAGAAAGACAAATACTACATGAACTTACTTATATATGGAATCTAAAAAAAAAAAATCCTAACTCATGGAAACAGAGAGTATGTTAGTAGTTGCCAGGGTGGGGAAATGTTGGTCACAGTGTAGAAACTTCCAGTTATAAGATTAATAAGTTCTGGGGATCTAATGTACAAAATGGTGACTATAGATAACAATACTGTATTATGTACTTAAAATTTGCTAAGGGAGTAGAACCTAAATGTTTTCACCATACACAAAATTTTATAATTATGTGAGATGATGGTTTTCTTAAGTAACATGAGTGTGGTAATCATTTTGCAATATACAGCTGTATCAAATCATTATGTTGCACACATTAAACTTACACAATGTTATATATTAAGTATGTGTATCTCAATAAGGCTGGAGGCGGGGAAAGAATTAAAAAAAGTAAGGCAATGTGTGATCATTGGACAGTAAAAGAACATTGTTGGGTCAATTGATAAAATTTGAGTAACATCTACAGTTTAGTTAATATTTTATCAGTTAATTGCCTGGTTTTGATCATTTCATATCCTATATAATAAAAAAACATGTAAATTGACCGTCCCTCTGCTATGCTCACTAGCCAATCAGGAGTGAGTATGCAAATTAACCCAACAAAGATGGCCGGTTAATTTGCATACACAGGCGCTGGGCAGAGAGCAGAGTGGGAGAGCCGGCAGAGAGTAGAGCGGCTTGGGGAACTTGGCTCCCCAAGCCGCCAGATGGAGAACAGAGAGGGAGAGCTGGCGGCTTGGAGGACTTGGCAGAGTGGGAGGCCTGCGATGTGGACAGAGCAGGAAGGGAAAACCAAGGTTGTGGGGAGCATGAGGAATTCTGGAATTAGTAGTTTTGGTGGCAGCCCCAGTACCAGAAGCAGAAGCCCAGAGTGCGGGGAGCACCAGGAACGCTGGGAATCATAGTTCTGGTGGCAGACAGATCTCCTAGACCAGCCGTGGGCAAACTACGGCCTGCGGGCCGGATCCGGCCCATTTGAAATGAATAAAACTAAAAAAAAAAAAAGACCGTACCCTTTTATGTAATGATGTTTACTTTGAATTTATGTTAGTTCACACAAACACTCCATCCATGCTTTTGTTCCGGCCCTCCGGTCCAGTTTAAGAACCCATTGTGGTCCTCGAGTCAAAAAGTTTGCCCACCCCTGTCCTAGACACTATAGCAGCGGTTCTCAACCTGTGGGTCGCGACCCCTTTGGGGGTCGAACAACCCTTTCACAGGGGTCGCCTAAGACCATCCTGCATATCAAATATTTACATTACGATTCATAGCAGTAGCAAAATTACAGTTATGAAGTAGCAACAAAAATAATTTTATGGTTGGGGGTCACAATATGAGGAACTGTATTTAAAGGGCCAGAAGGTTGAGAGCCACTGCACTAGAGCAAAGTGAGCCTGGAGCAAGTTACTGTTGCGGTGGGGGATGGAGGGAAAGCAAAGGTGAGAGACATAAGTAAAATCAGTGTCTAGGAAAAATTAAAGGGAAGATATCCTAAAACTTCCAGGAAATCTCCACCAATGAAGCAAAGAAAAAAAAGCCTCTATTATTCTGTGAGCAACAAACCAAACTGAGTTGCGGTCTCATATAATTCGCTCATATGATTTCAAAGACAGACAGAAACTCCCAGATTGGAGAGGGTGCAGGTCGAGCTGAGGGACCCCCACACCCCCCAGTGCACAAATGTCGTGCACCAGGCCTCTAGTGGTTATATAAAATGTTGACATTTGGAAAAGTTGGGTGACAGGCATATGGGCATTCTTTGTAATATTTTAAACCGTTTTTTGTCAGCCTGAAATTATTTCAAATTAAAATTAATAAAATTTTAAAAACCTGTATTGGTCCTCACCCCTCATGGATTCTGATTTAACCACTCTGGGGTAGAGCCCAGGCATCAGTAATGTTTAAAGTTTCTTTGGGTGATTCCAATGTATAGCTAGGTTTAAGAACTAACACCCTTATTTGGTGGTTCTCAAATTGTGGTCCCTGGACCAGCAGCATCTGTATCACCTGGGAACTTACTAGAAATAAAAATTATCAGGTCCCAACCCAGATCTACTCAGTCAGAAACTGGTGGTAGCCCCTATATTTTAGCAAGCCCTCCAGGTGACTTGATGCATGCTTAAGGTTGAAAACCAGTGCTCTAATAGAACTTAGCACAATGATTGGACATGCAGACATAAATTAATCAATTAAATGTTTACAAAGTTATTTAAATCAACTATCAGTATAATAATCAATGGTTAATAGGCAAGATACCCAAACTAGTAATACATAATCACATATAAAATTAAATCTAGGCTTGGCCAGCATGGCTCAGTGGTTGAGTGTCAACCTATGAACCAAGAGGTCACAGTTCGATTGCTGGTGAGGTCACATGCCTGGGTTGTGGGCTCGATTCCCAGAGGGGGTGTGCAGGAGGCAGCTGATCAATGATTCTCTCTCATCATTGATGTTTCTTTCTATCCCTCTCTCTTTCTCTCTGAAATCAATAAAAAT